CTGCATCCGTGGATGTTTTATTGCCCTTGTCTAGCTTGGATTAACACATAGTCTACAGGCACACACCTGATCATCTACATTTTCTCTCTTACAACACTAAACTATGTTTTCTACCTTTATCTTGTATCTACCTACCACTTCAGCATTTTATTAAAAATAATAATAATAAAGAGAGAAATGTGGTATCCACATATAAATCAAGTATAAAAATCAAATGAGTATTCATATTTGAACTGACTGTTTATAGTTCATAATGCATGAGCAAAACTGAAAGCTTCTGTGATGACTGCCCTTGTAATGTTCACCATGTAACTTATTCACTATGTAAGAATTTGTTCTCCATGTAAGAACTTGTTCATTATGCTTCAGAAGAATGGAAACTGATGAAAATTAGGCTTGGGGTGGATTAATGATTGTGCATTGAGCATTGACCCCCCCTATACAGAATTTTATTGTTGTTAACAACCATTTGATCAATAAATATGAGAGATGCCCTCACAAAAAAAATAAAATAAAAATAAAAATAAAAAAAAGAAATGTGGTCAGAAATAAACAAGGGAATGAGATCTCTGAACTTCTTATGCACAGGGGGACTCCCCCAATGAACACGTTAAAAAAAGTGAGAATTATTAACATTATTCAGAGTCTGGCTGAAACAGAAAAATGTCAAGTCACCCTGTGGAGAAAGTCACACTGGACACAGTAATGTTCTACATATGCGACATATTACAGAACACAAGGAGCGCTTGAGAGAGCTCCTCTTACCTCAATTCCTTCTTTGTTTAAGGCATATTCATCAAAGTTCAGAATGGCTATCTTAATTGTCCTTGGTGGGGGCAGGACTGTCAGACCGATGTTAATAGCGTTGCTCCTCTTGGGGTCCAGAACAATGATCTCCTGCCTTTTTCCATCTGCTGCAGTTTTCTGGATGATAAAATAAGGAGAATCCAAGATCAATGCATCATCTTTGTCTTGTCATTATTAAAAGCAAACCTGCTACTTATTTAGAGATGAAAGCTAATGGCCCCGATTCAGCTCAGGGAAGGCCTGGCTGCTGCTCAGCACAGAAGAAAGAGATCAGGGATTAGCTCTGAGAAGCTGCCGAGCATGGGCCAGCAATGGAACTCTACCAGTCAGGCACATTAAAAGTAAAATTGATTTTCCTTCAATTGGAAAAGTGATATTTTGCAAGGAAAAAACAAACTTGTTTTTTTCCATAGAAGCAGTGGAAACAAAACTAAAACCTCTCAGAGCTCCCTTCTTGTGGGCTGCAAAGTGTTGAAATGTGTCCTGGTTGGCCATAGTGCATATGGTTGGTGCCCAGAGACAGGTGCTGAGAACACAAGCATGACGAGGAGAATCCTGCACTGCTGCCTGGTCAGTCCCTCTGGATCCCCAGCTGTGTTGTCTCAAGGGTGCTCTCACCATTCCAACGTCCTATACCCTTTAACCAGAGTACCTGCTACACTTAGACATCTGGGCAGGTGAAGAGGGGACTTCCAAGGAAGGTAAATGAAAGGGCACATGCTGCTAAAGAGGAATGAGAGACGAACAGACGCAGAGACTGAGGAGGGAGCAGAGGCAAGGGGTCCAGGTATCCTCACAGAATCTGTGCATAGTGGCCTCCCTGTTGGCCAAGGCTGGCCAGGTCGGGACTAGCACATGGCCAGAACCTAATGAATGTGGAGGTGCTGAGCCGACACTTGCCCAGGGCTGAGGTGACCAGGCCCCCAGCTTTCCCCTTCAGCTCTTGAATTAAGGGCAGGTGGCAACAGAGACAAGTGGAGGAGACTCTGCTCAGCAAGCACCCTGTGCATGCTCAGGTTTCCCAAGGCAAATGGAGCTGGGAGAACGACTGTTTTCACTCATAGAACAAGCCTTGGACCATGATGGATAAGGCACAGTGGATCTTCTGAAGGAAAAGACACATTGTGGGAGGGCTCGGTAGTGGGGAAACTAGCTCACCTGGTGGTAGGGGGTCAAGGTTTGGAGGAGGTGGCATTTGAGCTGGGCCCTAAAGAATGTCTAGGATCCAGCCTGGAGCCGTGGGAAAAGATAAGGAGATAGGAAGTGGCATTGTCTGGGTCACTAGGACCTACCAGGGATGTAGCTGGAGGTTTGGGGCCCACACCCAGGGGAACTCAGGACCCAGCCACTCCAACTCCATTGTGGGCAGGCCCCAGCCAAGTAGCTGATTGCTGCTCACCATTGGTCTCCTGCACTGAGGCCACCCTACTGGGAGCTGCTGAGTTGTCTGGAGAAGCTGGCCTCTGCCCCACCAGAGGCTGAAACTGGCAAGGAGAAATGGACTGTGGCTCCTCAAGTCCTACTGAGCCCTTCAAACTCAATTGCTAAAATTCCATTTTAGATCCTTAAATATGCACTTGGGAATAAATTCAAATTTCTTCACAAAGAAAATAACTGAAAATTTCCAGCTGTTTTGGGGTCTGGTGGCCAGGAGGAACAATTCCTGTGGGTGTGGTCATCAACTTTGAACAATGGCCTCCCAGGGATATGTGGTGTGGAAGTTCCCCCCTCTTTAGGACAAGCTTGTCTTTTATACACTTAATAAAATAAGTATCAGGAGCCCCTAAAATTTAGCTTTGAAATCCAATTTACAATATCATTTTGTGTGTGGAATGCTAAGAAGGAATAATAAAAGGTTGGACAAAATGCTGAATCCGGACAGTGAAGCAGGATGTTAGGACTTACAATGCCCACATTGGGGTGCTGAGGTGCCCACCCCTCCAGGCACTGCAGGACACCTACCCAACACCCCTCCCTCTTTACTGCTCACCAACAGGACCTTGATATTTTTTCAGGGTGGCAACATGTCAGTTACACCAGTCACTTTCCTAGACTCTTTGCAGCTCAAGCTGGCCCAGTAACTTAGTTCTGGCTTTTGTTTTCCTGATTAAAAAGGGATAGACCCTGTGGGCCATGCCTTTTGCCCTTCCCCCTTCTTCCTGCCTAGAGTGTGGACATGGGGCCTGGAGAGGCAGCAGTAAGCATCTCATGGGCATAAGGAATGAAGCTACTTTAGGATGGCAGCAGGAAGACAACAGGAGCCCGGAGCCTGACCATTACCCACAGCCAGGCTCCAGTGAGTGGGCATTGATCAAAAGTAGTGATGCCCTGGGAATCAGGAGTTCTCAACCCCATCTGTTCAGTCCTGCCTCACTATAGTGCCTGGAGAGATGGCTGAGCAGGCCCAGCCCACAGAAGCCTTTGTGCAAATGAGTAAAAGAAGGCCTCATCTGTGGAGACATAGCTCCATGGCAAACACCTTGAGAGAGAAGCACCCCTCAGGTTCAGCCCTTTCCCCTCAGCCAGCGTCCACGGGCAGTCAGAAGCCTGCACGGATCTATGTGGTAGCTCTGAGCCCCATCCTCAATAGAATCCAATTTGTGCCAGTGGACACAGCCACACACTCCCCTGTCAGTCAGGGAGAAGCGAGCTGCCAAGTGTCCTGAGAACCCGGGGAGAGCCAGCCCATAGCAGACTCCACGTTTTCAGAGCACTTCCACTTACTTTGTGAAGAAAAGAATAAGAATTAAAATAATATCTGAAACTGAATTATTCAAGTGAAGAAAAGAATAAGAACTAAAATAATATCTGAAATTGAATTATTCAATCTCTGGATTTTATGCAAGAGGTTATCTTAAATGCTGCTTTTCATAAATGAAACAACTCGCATGGATGCTACTGGGCACTCAGTGCTTTGGGTCCATTCTGCTGGAGGTGAGAGAGTGGCCATGCAGGGCTGTCTGACTCTCCTCCCTTCCCACAATAACCTGGAGCATCACATGCAAGGAAAAGCCAGTTCTCTATGCCTGGGAGCACATGTCCATGTCTAAGCAGCCATAGATTCTGATCTACTTAAATCATCTTTCATCTGGATCAGTGCCCCAGATCAACAAGTATGACCTTCACTATGTCCTTCATATGATCCTGTGACAGAGTAACCATCGCGCATCCTCTTCCACAGAGCCTCTCAAACCCACCCTTCCTTCATTCCCACTACCTCTACCCCAAGTGTGACCTGCCCAGGGTCCAGCCTCCCAGAGCAGCCCATCACCAGCCTCCTGCTTCCAGTCTCATCTCTCCTTAGTCCATTCATCTTGCTTTTAGCTAAGAGTCTTTTTCAGACATCTCTTTCTTTATTGCACTTCTTTGATCAGAAAGACTGTCCATTGTTTGAAATTAGAAAAATAGGAGATTGGTCAGTGATGGAAAGAATGTAAAGTGGAGGCCAGAGAAGACAGAGCGGTCCTTGTAAAGAAGGTTAGGAGATGATAAATGCCCTCTAAAGGCACCTAGAAGGAAGGGATAAGATGTGATGTGGCAAAGGTGGAACAGAAGTTGGGGAAATGCCAGGAGGTAATGCTTCTAGGCCAGAAATAAGGAAGTTTTGTATTTGATAGGAGACCAGACACATCCCCTTAAAAAGCACCCAAACGAAGAAACAAAACACCAGACCCTCCTAAAATAGCACAAGGCCTTCCTGAAGGAAATGAAATTTTCTTGAGAGTAATAAAGGAAGAGGTGAACACATAGGAAACATCACATTCCCGGATAGGAAGTCTCAGTGTTCTAAGGACGCTCATTATTTCTTATCTATTATGCACATATAAAATAATTTTAATCAAATTTTAACAAGATTTGTTTTTGGAATTTAAAGAATATTCTAAAGTTACTATGAAAAAGTATGTGTATAAAGAGATCAATAGCAGAATTAAATACAGTCTTTGCCCAATCAGTTATAAAAGCTTATTATAAAAATGATATGATTAAAATGTGTGGCACTGGCACTAGAAAAGCTAGAATGACAGAACAGAACAGAATGAAAAAGCTGTCATAAAATGGTCCACGGCACTGCCACAGAGACTCCATGATTAAAGAGTTACGATTTATTATGAAAGCCTGATTTGTAGTATGGAACAAAGAAAGTAATTTTAAGTAAAGAAAACCCAATATGGTAGGTTAATACCATGATAGACTGGATTGACTGACATCTTCCTTAAAAGGGAAGGCAAGAACACAGGCCTGTGTGGGAAGGGCCAAGGGTCACCATGGTGGGAGTATGCCAGAACCCACAAGACCCCCTTGCTGACTGGAGTTCTGAGATATTATTGGTGATGGTCCGTGACAGCAAACCCTGAGCTGAGGCAGAAAAAGCTGAGAAACAAGCTCAGCTCTCCAACACTGTCACAGATCCTGTTTTCTTAAAGAGTTATTTCCCAAGTGCCTGTTTGTTGACTACTCCTCAAGTGGGGGTATTTCTATGGTGATTAACAAAAAATGTGTATCTGTGGAGGGCTGGGATGCCCCTGACACCAATGGCCAGTCCTAGAGCAACAGGAAATGGGGGTTTCTGTCTCAAGTCTTTGATAACAGGTCAGTCAGCCAAATGTTTGCCCCGTTCCTCAGTGAGTCCCAAGACCTAGCAGGGAGGAAAGGATGTTCGAAGTAGGTTCCTGAGGGCCCAGAGTCCAAGCACAGGACACTAGACTAGAGTGAAAATGGGAACTGTCACTGGTGTGAGATGGTTTGCCCAGCAAGAGAGTGGAAATGAGGTAGTATCGGGGAAATTCCTGTGGAACTGCCTCTGAACATGCTACTTTTCCAAATATGTCTAAAAGTGTTCAAGGGAAAAAAGGAACTGGCTTCTTCAAGGTGGAAAGGGTACCCTGGCAAGAAGCCAGCCTCTGTTTTTGTCTCCAGAAAGCCTAGATAAGCTGAATTCATGAACAAAACCAGGTGGTGACACCCAACATGTAGCAGAGCCCTTCCTTCGAAGCTCCATCTATCAGGGAGCCTCCAGCACGCCAATAGTTGCCCTTGCAGAAATATTATCTTTGGAGAAATGGCTGGGATGCCATTTAGGGCTTTTGTTCATTTTTGTTTTTCACTCAGCCAAGAAG